GTCCAGTTCTACGCCCACTTTAACTGCCTCTTCGTCATCTGCCTCCTCGGACTCCAGCTCATCTACGGCCTCATCGGATTCGCGTTCCACTTCGTCCGGATGCTCTGATCAGGACGGTCCGCGCCAACGGGTCTCGAGTGCCGATCTACTGGGACCTCGTCGACGTTCCTCTCACATCGACAGGCCTGTACCAATTAGCGAGAGAATGTCACGTCACACTCGCCATTTTGATGAGTCTACCAGTCGAAAGCATCAACATCAGCATCGACATCGTCGACAGCGACGCCAGGTCACTGCAAATGGAAAAGGACCGAATTCTGTTAGTCCATTGCCTCCGTCGGTGCCGACGATTCTGTGCAATGCTGGCCAACAGACGGACGAGGCCAGTCTGCTCAGGGTTGCAGGTGTCTTGGATTTAGGAAACGGACATGCCGCAGGCACGAATGGTAGGTATTGACTCTACTTTTATAGCAGTTTTCGTCTTCCTTGCTATACTTTTATTCCATTTTGGAGTTTCTCTTCTCTCTCTTTTTTCCACTCAGTAAATGTAAGTTGGAATGCAGTTGGGCGGCATTCTTTTTCTCAAAGATATGAAAAAAATAGGGTTTCGAAGAATTCCTCAGTGATATATTGTGACATGACTTTCAATTTCGAAGGACAAGTTGCTTGGAGGTAATTCGTGGTGTGATCTCACTGGGAACCGAAGGAGGATTGCTGCGTAAGCAAGGCTGCTGTATTTGTTTAGTATACTCTTGCTGTATTTCGTAAAGTAATTATTCCCGCACTGATGACGAAAGCTTAGCGCAGACTGATCGGGGTCGCAGGATGGTGAGCCGAGGACTGCTTGGCAATCCTTCGGTTTCCGGTGATACCGCATCACAAATTCTTTCCAACCAAGTGCTCCTTCGAAATGGAAACTCATGTCACACCTCTTTTTCTCATACACTATTTCATCCCCCTACCGCCTTTCTGTCTCTTGTTGTTTTTTCTCGGCTTTCAAGTCAACTCTCGTCTTGATGACGATGAATGGGAGCTCGTGGAATGCAACGAATCCGACTGCGAAGAATGCCATAGTGCCGATTCGAATGGTGCCTTGGTTACTGGGCCTCTGCAATCGACCAGACATTCGTCGTCAACTACGGGGCCGTTTTCTCCATCGGGCCTTCCTCTAACCTGTATTGGCTCGAATACCAGTGCTGCTGGAAGTTCTAGCAGCGGTGCTGGTGGAGGTGGCAGTCGGATTGGACTACCTGATGGAGGGATGACTTCATCTGAAGCTGGGGGTCCTTCGGAAATGATACGTTTTTCTCCCGATTCCCAAGACCCACTCTCCAGCAGTCTCCGAGGCTACCATATTTTTGACAGAATCCCTCCGGCCACTGGACACAGCACAATTGGTGAGAGGCTAATTCTGATTCGATTTTGCCTCATTTCGTTTGTATGATCCATTTTTGTCTAATTCCTTCTGTCCTGATGACTTGCTGATTTTGAAAAATTTCTTTAATTCATTGCCAGCCTCTACTTTGCCCACTTTTGCATTTAACGGCACCACATTTTTGATAAAACAAGGCCTTTAACTGATTTGGCTCAACGAGAATGTATCTCATTCTATCTAGTCGAGAGACAAATGTGATTTTACATAATGGCATAACGAGCTATCTCATTTTATCCCAATCCTTGAATTTCGCATTTTCACATTATCATAACAGTTAGACGCAGTCCTATATTACTTTATTTTATGTAATGTTATGCTACGTTTTCTCTTTAGTATAATCAAGCAATTTATTAGCCTACCAATTTCACATGGAACCTCTAAAATCATATCCGGTAGTAACGCTATATGCAGTATTCTAGTAAAGGGAAAACATAAACCCGTGTTGAGTGATTTGGAGATTAATACTAGCATTCCTTTCATTTCCTTTGAGAAGGCGGGTGGAAGGTATTCGTAATTTAGCCTCATCGAATATCGAAGGAGGGTTTCCTTGGACTTTTGACTGTTGGATTGGGCGAAAAAAATATATATATTTAAAAGTATAATTTGATAAATATATCTCTTATTTTTTATCTTACATGCTAATTGGCCTCTGAGTTCGGGTAATTGTGGCTTTTCCTTCATTCCACCTCACTACAGGCGAGCATGGGCATCTGCCCAGTGAAAGTGCCCTACCTTCGTTGCGCGCCTACCTTCCATACCAGATGAGCCAACTGCAGTCTGGCTTGGTTCGAGTACCGATCTGTGGTGGAAATAGCAGTGGCGGCAGTGCTAGCGGACTCGATACGACTGCCATCAGGTCGGCGGACCTATCGCGCCAGGGTCTTGTGGTCGGAGGCAGTCAGTCTACTGGGCCGGGCAGTTGTGGCAATGTTGCCAATTCTGGTGGGACTCGGGCCCAGGTTCCAGCAAGTGGCAATGGTTGTCAGGGTCAACCCGTGAGATTTGTACAATCCGCCTATCCAATTGTCGCCACCACAACTGTTGCCAGTCCTTCGCTGATGTCCCACGCTCAGCCATCCTCGTATCCGGTCCACTGCTCGATTCCCAAACCCGTGGCATTCGGACAAATCTTTTCGGGTCATCCTCCGACCTCTAGTCTCGCCACAACCAGCCCCATCTCCTCTCTTCAGGCCACGGGTCTAGCCGTAAATGTATTTGGTTTCAAGGCCGATTCTAATGGCAACAGTTCGCCAGTTGTCACAGCAACGGGCTCAGATGCGACCTCTTTTCTCCAGACGGACGGATTCGGTCTGGTTCAAAGGCAGCACTCATATGGATCGTCTTCTTCGGGACGCGGAGAAGCTGTTGGCGACACTGTCGGGCTGTTGGGCCATTTCAGAGGCCAACGAAAAGGTGATATCTTTCACTCAACCCTATTAGATAGAAATTAAGGCCTCAATTAGGGGAGCTGTCAGTAGTGACATGTGGATTAGGCTGAATAGAATAATATGATCTGCATTATTCGCCCATTCTTTAGTTGACGGTTTTATTTCGTCCACTTTGAGTGTCAGTTTTAACGGCGTCTTAGTCTCGATCAACACTTTTCTTTGTCTGTAGATGCACGCCATAATGGCCTTTATTCGATAAATATATGTCTAATCTCCCTGTCTAGCTTCGCGACTGCTCCATCGAGGTGGTTTATATTCCATTTGGAGAAGTAAACCCTCAATATTTTTTGCATAATTTGCCCTTTAAAATGAATTTTAAAACTTTATTTTCAAGTCGTACCGTCTCCATTCATATGATTCGGTTTATGCCGTTTTTGCATTGCCCTTCACAAATTTCATTTTATATCCTAGACAGCTTGTCTTATAAATTTTTATTCTATTTTTGTGCTTTTCTCTTCCTTCCTCGGGTTTCTTCCTCAGGAGGCGGTCACTCGAATTCCTCCTCTTGCTCTAA